GCTTAAGCGATATCAAGCTGCTTACCACTTGAATCAACACCCGTTAGTTCTGGTTTTTTAATTAAGTGCACTTGGTCTCTAGCGTTATCAATCTGTTCAGTTCAGATCCCTCAACCATTAACTACCGTTAACCCATTAATAGAATTCTCAGTTTTTTTAAAAATAATAAAATAAAATAAAAACGTATGCCTTCAAAGTTGACTTCTCTTCTTCTTTCCCCACAACCCATTCTCATCAACACCCTTCTTCTTCTTCCTCCCATTCTCATCAACACTCTTACCCTTAAAAAAAGTCCTACAACCCATTCTTAACAGAGCATGTCGTTATCGGTCCGTTGCGAGCATAACAAAGACCAAGTGCTTAAAAAATTAACGGATCCCATGGAATTTATTCCAACACTCAAAAACCTTATATGAACTCCCTTTCCAAATCAAGCTCCACAATATTAAAAAATGGCAGCCTAAACTTCATCTTTTTCATGTATTTTGCTCATCGATTTCACTCTTTTCATGCTCAATGTTGTTGCCATGCTGGTTCCTCTGATAATCGGGCAAACAAACTTCCATCTATATATATACTGTTGAAGCAGGTTTACATTGTTTACATGGGAAACCTTCCTAAGGGTAAAGTTTCATCAAGCATTTCTCCACCAACTTATAGTATTTTTTATTGTCTCGTGATCAAGAAAATTCCAGAAATGTTAATGGCCCCAAGAGTCCCTTATATGCAGCGCCTTACCCTTGGTACATTTCTCTTCCTGATCATGGGAATGGACAGCATCCTCATCCTTCTTGTGGCCAAAGTAATATTAAAGATAAGACTTCTTTGAATAAAGGATTTAGTTCTGGGTGTTCTTTGAATTCTGTTGCTCATGAGGAATATAATCTCTCTTTACTGATAGAAGATGAGAAAGAGGCTTATGGCTCACTTGAAGCCAGTTCGAATATCATGAATCTCTAGTTAGGCATCAAAGAAGGGGTCTCTGTGCTTACACCTCCATGTTCATTAGGGACTACATTTGTTGAACAGGAGAATAAACCAGATCATATTGTCAGTACTGAAGTGGTCCTTGTGCTTACACCTCCATTTTTATGGAAACAAAATTTTTCTAAGGAGGAGGAGGAGGAGGATCCTTAAATTTTACAAGTCCTCTATTGTCTAAAACTAACACACCCTTAATAAAACCAAGCAAGAGTAAAGCATATGCGGGCTTCAACCTATAAAAACAAAATGGTGTTAGCTAAGGCCTTGTTTATAGACCCAATAATGGCTCCATTTCGAGCCTTAAAAAGGAAAATATGTAAATTATTGCACAAAGCTTATATGTTTGATACATTATATATGTTTATATAAATTATATTTGTTTGATAAACATGAAAAAGCTATGGCCTAGTTGTGCCCAATTTAACCTCAATGATAAGATATTAGGATTACATGCGATTCCGATCCAACGGTCACAAACACACTCCCATGTATTTTCTAGTAAACTCAAACAGTATTAGAGCCCGTGACAGACAAGGGTCCAATCCATATGTAGACCGGGGTCCACCATAAATATCTTACACAATATTCTTCCATTTCATACTTAATTTAATTCAATTTAGCACCAATCAACTTATCTCAGAGGTTAAAAGAATCGTTGTTGTTCATAGAGGTTATGGATTTAAGCATCACCAGGATGATTGAGCGCTCATTAATAATTATAACAGATATTACTTTGTAATCACATTAGTTTAATAAAAAAATCGATTTAAAATTCATTAAATGATCTCAGTAAAAGAAAATATTAATCTCTCCATATGTCTTAAGTTCGATAAGTGACCCCTAGACAATTTAAAAAAGATAATTGAGTTTAGAATTAGGATTTGGTTACACCCAGTATAAAACTAAAAGTTTTATATCTTTCTAATATCGTTGGATTGAGGAAAAAGATTGAGATTAACTCATTTTTTAATGAATATATTTTCATTTCCTATTATTTATCTCAACATTTTATTTTTCCTCATCCAACGATCGACAAAAGCCGTAAAATTTTTAGTTTTACATTATGTAATTGGATCATAACCCTTAAAGTTTATTACCAATTACTTTATTTCTAATATTATAGAGGTTGATTATAGAAACAATCCTTTTTTTTTTAATTTACTCTATTTTAATAAGATTTTTTAATAAAAAATAAAATCTACAAGGGATGTGACCCATGATAAAATGTTTTTGTTTTTAATAGAATGTAATGGTTATAAAATTGTTTTTTTTTGTCATTGACAATATATACCCACATTAAAGATATAACTATTTGAATTAAATTTTTTAAAAAGAATAACTTATTATATTTATGATAAAAGAAAGTTAAACTAAAATAAAATTCATTAACGATTAAATTCGATGTTTTAATGTCGTTCAAAGTTGATGATGATTTTGACAAAGTCGTTGATAGATGAAGATCGTATTAACAAAGTTGTCGACTTTTTTTGTAATTTAGAATTATATTATGAAAAATAAAAGTACAAATATTGAAATAAAATTTTTAAAAATTACCCTTTTAAGATAAATAATGAGTCGAAGAAAATTAAAATTTAGAGTTTTAATTATAAGTAAACGGTAAAATTTCGAAAAGTTGTAATTTTATATTCGAGTGTTCGATTGAGATAATTTTCTGTATAATTGTTTTAGATCTATGAGCTAAGGAAGTGAAGAAGTCTGATCACTGTTTTCACACCGAAAATCATGGTACTTTAACATAATGTAAAATAAAATTGGGTAAATTATGTGTTTAGTACCTAAACTATAAATTTTGGTCCATTTTAGTACCAAGCTTTTAATATTTTCAAAATTATGCCTAACGTTTTGTTTGTTTCACTTTAGTACTTTGCCGTTAAATACTTAACGGATGGGCTCACCGACCGTTGCGTCTACAGTGGCCAGGTGTCGTATCCATCGGCCGATGAAGCCTAAACTTTCCAACACGCACCTTTTCGACCATTTGAACGTGATTTTAGCTTTCGTTTCACCGAAAACTGCCTCATTCTCCTCAAAATTGGTGATGAATCCTTCGATTTCTTCATCCTCTGATCTCCTTTGTCAATCGTCCGATGAGCCTAAAACTGGACTATATTGGTCGACTTGTCATTCTCTAGTGTTCTACCATTCGAACTGGTCGTTCGTCCACCGGAACTATACCCCGTTAGCTAATCAATTAAATTTGTTACAGTGTGGTACTAAAATGAAACAAAAACTAAATGTTAGGTATGGTTTTAGATTTTTTTTTGAAAGTTTAAATTTTAACACATATCAAAATTAGTGGTTTAGATACTAAATGCGTAGTTTACCAGATAAAATTATAATGAAATTTTATCTATCCATGGATGCTCAAGTTGTCACTCTCATGACAGCTTCATAAATGCTACCAAAAATGGCCTCCATCAAACCCAACAAAGAACTTGGGATAATGCCTTGTGCAATGAAATTACCATATGTCTCCATGCCCATGTTATAAGTTGAGACTGATGCGAAATTTTATGTTGGAGGAAAGAATTTAAATTTATAAAATTTCACATAGAGTAAAGATAGATTTTCAATAGAAAATATAAAAAAAATCTAAATTATTTAGTAATTTTAAATTTTCAGGGAACGATCACCCCACCGACTCTTTCGGTCCATTCCTGTCCACAAGTAAATTGGGGGGAAATTCACATAAAATTCTCTTATTTCCAACGTTAATTGAACCCAAATATTTTCATAATTCCATTGTCATAGGGACACAAACAAAATGGCTTGACTCATCAGAATGAGTCCCCATGTTTTGCTAGAATCCTATCAGAAGTCAAAAATCTACTATCTGTAGTCTGCAACTGAATGACAAAGTAATTTTATATTCTTACTTGAGCCTCTAAGGTTCAAATAATTTTTACCTATCCTTGTACCATGCTACTATTTTAGTGTGACAATTTTATGGGTACAGTACATAAATGGTCCTCTGATTATAGGATATTGCTTTGTTAAGAAACTTATAAATTGGTCCCTTAATTATATGTCATTGCTTTGTCGAGTCTCTCGATTATAGGCATTGCTTTGTTGAGTTCGTCGATTATTAAAACATATAAAATGGTCCCTTAATTATATGTCATTGCTTTGTTGAGTTCGTCGATTATTAAAACATATAAAATGGTCCCTTAATTATATGTCATTGCTTTGTTGAGTCTCTCGACTATTAAAAGTTACAAAATGGTTACATGACTATTCATATATTTCAACCTCATCATTTTTCGTTAAAAAATTGATGATAGTCTGAGTTAGATGTTAATCTGTTAACCGGGATATGATAATCATTTGAGATTTTGAGATCAAATTTTATCATATCATAGTCAACATGTTAACGTCCAACTCAGGCTGTGATTAATTTTTTAACGGAAAATGATAAATTTGGACCATATAAATAGTAGTGACTATTTTGTAACTTTTAATAGTCGGAGGACTCAATAAAGCGATGTCATATAGTCAAGGGACCATTTCATAATTTGTAATAGTTAAAGGATTCAACTTAGTAATATCCTATAATTGAGGGACCGTTCGTGTACTTTACCCTAACTTTATAAACCACCTTGAATATGGTACGGACTTTAAAGCTCGGTGAATAACTCGACTCATGAACAAGTACAGCTGTACCTAAGCTTAATGATGGTCACCTCTATTCGCACAACTAAGAAGAACCCTGAATTATTAAACTCTATAAGAATCCAACCAATTCCAATAAGCAATAATTAATGCATGATTACTTCAAATTATTTTTTCTGTTTGGTAAACAGGAAAGCGTGGCTACCAGAAGTGAAAAACATGTAAAAAAGAGAGAAGATAATCTGCGCAGAAAACAAACAAATGTATGTTTTGTTTTCTTGTTTGTTTTCTCCACCTTTCCTTTCTTTCAAGCAACCAGCGATCAATCCTTTGTCTGTAGCAACAATGGCGGGACCATCGCGTGAATGTGATGGAATTTTTGGCTGAAATCGTCACGGGATATGCAGCTCTCTTCTATATCACATTTTCCTTCATTTTCTCTTTCCTACACCGAGAAAATGTCTGAGAATTCCATGGCTCCTCCTCCTTCTCCTTCGTTCTTGATTTCGGATAGGCCGCCGGACGTAGAGTCGATCAGGGTAGTCGTGAATTCAATCAACCGATATGTTTCCGGGTTGGTAACTGATGAACGGAAGTGGGATTCGGTATGGTTGAAATGCAGTTCCAGGTTGAATTTCCAGAAGCCGGAGTATTTCGAGTTCTCCGAGCAGGCGGTGCTTTCGAATCTCTATTGGGGTATCGACGGCATCAAGGCCGCATTGCAGGCCGACTCGGGGGAATACAGAGCGGATAAGTTGAAGGAATCGGAGAAAATGCTTCAGGTTCCGGCGTTGCTTGACGAACAAGGAACCACTGCAGGGATCCCTAATGAGTACTTGGGTTGCTGCTCTTACTTTTACCTGTCAGTGATTAAGAATCTGCAGGATGATCAATTGCAGGCTGCTTTGCATTATCTACAAGCGTTGCTGGTCTCACCGATGCTCGTTCGTACCGAATACACCTCGGAAGAACTCTGTGAAACCCTGTTCCTTCCGTGCGCTGACTCAGATAGACGAGAAATAGACGGAATCCGGAGACTGAAATCGGTTTCTAGCAACAGTTCTACTTGGGGAAACCTTACCGAATCGACAAGGCAGATGGCGAGGAGATACAAGCATTGGTTAATGTATTATCGGGTCATGCTATATGGAAAGACAACTCAACTACAAACTGAATGCAACGAGACTCTGTCACCCGCATACGAATCGATGAATTTCGGGTAAGTTCTCTTCTGATAACCTTTATAACACGTAATCATGTCCGAGTACGTCTTGTACATAGACGTAGTCCTATCGGTTTCGAAAATGCAGTATAGGATTACACATCTAATTGATATTCTGTTAATGTGTGAGCAGTCATGAGATTGCAGGTGGCAAAGAATCCTCAATGCCACCCGAGCACCGATATAGACCGCAGACTAATTTTAAGGTATGCCACTGTCCCTTTGTTCTCATACATCGGTGCAACCTTCGGATCAGAGTTTGAATTGATATCAGAATTGGACTTACTGAGTTTTGTTTTTTGCTTTATACGGCAAAAACCTATACGGTTCGACAAGGTCCATCCACTTGATCATCCACTTGATAATGAAGATCGAGTTTTTACTGAAGCTATAAAGGACCGGGGTCACATTCAAAGGTTACAACTGCAGATAATGCAGCTAAACCGAAATGAAAGTATTAAGCGCCTGCAGGGTGTCCTGGATGAATCTGAATCTGATACGCAGGATTTCGAGGATGAATATGATTCAGAGGTGATATTTCAAACACATAATCGCTGCAGGCTATATGCATACTTCTTGTCATTTCCGATGTTTTTCCGGTCCGCTTTCCTTTCGGCCTGAATTGCATTGCAGAATCATATGAATCGAACTAATGTTTGTTTGAATCAGGAGAGCATGGAGGACGTCACTGGCGTGTTTAACACGGCGAGAATAGATTCCGATGATCGGAAACAAGCTTGCTATGATCAGTTCGGTAGACATACATAGCTATATCACATTTATTTTCAATGCCAAGCCTGAACTATATGAACATTTTGCTTATATCTTCCATTCAACTCTGCTTACCTATACAGGATGCTAGATCGCCGTAATAGTGCGTCGGACCAAGACTACGAAGCAATACTGTTTCCTCGAGTTTCCAACAGTCCAACGGACAAAGATGTCATCAATGAAGCAAACATCAGTAAATATTTTCCGGAGAGATTGTTCAGAACTATCAGTGATTTAAATTTGTACATGCTAGAATTCAGGGATACAAAAATAAACACACTTCAGGTCGAAGAAGCTCGGAGTCGATTCGAGCTAGAGAAAGTCCAACTCTTCGAGCATATAGCACCGACGTATCGAAGGAGCAAAAGCTTGATTCATATGAAGCAAGAGTGGACTGCTGCCAGGGAAAAGGTGGACTCATGTCGTTGGGGAAAAGATTCACAGAGTGAGTTAATGGAAATAATTGAGAATGCGGTTTCGAAGCTATGTTTCTCTGATGGATTAGAGAAATCTGGGAAAGATTATGCAGTCGAAATAACATCCATTTACAGAATGTTGAACAATAAACAAGGTGTGAAGTACACTATGTTAAAGGATGTGATTCTAGAGCAACTGCTGGTAGCTGTTTCGACTTCAAACAAGGAAACGGTTATAAGAGCATCGGTTACCGTCTTAACGACCATCGTTTCAGCAAATATATTGGTCATAAACGATATAAAAAAGAAGGGTTTACGTTTAAGTGATCTAGCACGGGCATTAAAATGTAATGTGCACGAGGCAGCTACTCTTATATACTTAATAAAGCCATCTGCTGCAGAAATAAAAACTTTGGAGCTCTTACCGACTCTCGTGGATGTCATTTGCACCTCGAACAGTTCGAGATGTAGGCCGTCAAAGTCACTTACGGTTACGCCTCCTGCAGCATCGTTGATGATTATCGAAGTACTGGTAACTGCATTCGACAATGCTACAAATAACGTGCACCTCGCAGCAATCAATTCGCCTCGTGTCATATCCAGATTCCTTGATGTTGCAAGGAATCATAGCTTGGAAGAACATATTTCTTTAGCCACAATTCTTGTTAAGTGCATGCAGTTTGATGGACATTGCAGGAAATATATATCCCAAGCTATTGCAGTGGCTCCGTTTATCCATTTGTTACGAAGTAATGAGAACCGGGCCGTGTTCATCGCACTTGAATTCTTTCATGAAGTCCTCCGGATTCCACGGTACGAGCAATTACTTTGATGGTTATATATGTCATCCGAAAACTCGAGTAAAACTGAATACAAGACATGAATTCATAATGTTCAGGTCATCAGCCATTAGCCTATTGCAGCAGATACAGAAAGAAGGAGGCATCAATATCATGAATGTATTAATGGCTTGTGTTCGATGCTTCCGAACCGACTACCGGATTTTGGCTGCAAATTTATTGATACAATTAGACACACTGGTAAAGTCATTGACATAGCTGATATTTTCAATATGTTTGTTTACACATACAAAGTTCGATAACGTTTTCGGGCAATTAAACGTAAATGATGTACTGATAAGTGACTTCACTGCAGGAAAACTCGACTGGTAAAAATGTGTTCCGAGAGGAAGCAATGCAGGTCCTCTTTCAGTCGATAGCATCAGAAGAAAGCACATTGCAGCTATTGTCGGCGATCATTCTGTCAAATATTGGTGGAACTTATTCTTGGACAGGTGAATCAAATACAGTAGCATGGCTGGTGAAAAAGGCCGGTTTAACGTCTTTAAATCACCGGAACATGATACGAAACTGTGATTGGTTGGATCCGAGCCTGCTGGTAAGAAGCATAAAAGGATATTGCAGTTTATCTTACTGCTGTTAGATTTAGATGTCAAATGATGTCCAAATTTGAAGATGGAATTTAAACTTGCAGGATTCAGGAACCGATTCATGGTGCAGCAAGATGGCAAGAAGCATCACCGAGTTCGGTAAACCAGCATTCGTCGCTTTACAAAAGGGTCTGAAGAGCAAGATAAAGAGGGTTGCTCGAGAGTCCCTCATGATCATTGCTTGGCTCGGTTGCGAAATTTCCAAAAGTTCGAACAGCCTTAGATATTCAGCGTGTGAGATCTTACTTGGTGAAGTTGAGAAATTTTTGCATCCAGGAATGGACCTTGAAGAAAGACTTCTAGCATGCCTATGCATCTATAACTATGCTTCTGGAAAAGGTAATGTCCTTACAATCAATACGCTTACTCTTCCGACGATCACACGATTCCGATCAAAATACAAAAACCCGGACGAACATTTCGATCCAAGTTATCTAAATAACAGCAATAACATCACTGCAGCATCTAAATCAACAATCACGGCAATAACATGTTCCTAGTACGCCAAAACTCTGTCATCGAGCCGATATTCACCACAAAACCTTATACCAATATGCAGGTATGAAGAAACTGATTCATTTCTCTGAGGGAGTACGGGAGTCGCTTCGGAGATTTTCAAATGTGATCTGGATGGCAGATGAACTACATAGAGTTGCTGACTTCTACCTGCCTAATAAATCGGTTAGTGTTCTTGAGGAAATCATAAGGCCTAATATGCAGTGAAATGAGACTATTAACAGAAGTAATCATATCGTTATGTATCGGATGTATCGAGTAACATGACATTTAACTCTTTAACTTGCTCTTTCAATTACAAGAACAGCGTATCTCTTGTGTTCATACGCAAATCGTTGAGGCAAGTCACAGATACAGTGGCGCTGTAAATGCCCTGATCTACTACAAGGGAATGCTTTTCAGTGGATACTCTGATGGCTCAATTAAGGTATGACCACCAGCTTCAACTCATGTCCCGAATGTATGTCGTATGAGTGGCATTTTCGGAGGCAAATGCCTAATCCCACAGACTAGGAAGACACAACAAAAACTAATGATTCGGCAAACCTCGGTTGATTGAACAGGTATGGGACATCAGAAGGCAATCGGCCGTGCTTGTATGGGACGTGAAGGAGCACAAGGACGCAGTGACATCTTTTTCACTCTTTGAACCAGGAGAGACCCTTCTAAGTGGATCAACCGATAAGACCATTCGAGTAAGTTAAAGTCTCGTCGTTCTTATTTCCTATGTATCGGACTCGGGTACGAGTGTCGAATCTAACTCGGAATCAGGTGTGGCAAATGGTCCAAAAAAAACTGGAGTGCATCGAAGTTATAGCAACAAAAGAATCGGTTCAAAAGCTAGAGACATATGGTCAAATGATATTTACGATTACTCAAGGCCACCATCTTAAGGTAACAAATGACATTCAATAAGATAATCAAACTTACGCATATATCAACTATTTTAAGATCTTTCAGGTTTTCGATTCATCAAGAACAGTCAACAGTATCTGCAAAAACAAATCTGTAAAGTGCATGAAGATGGTTCAAGGAAGGATCTATGCAGGCTGCACCGATTCGAGCATTCAGGTTCGACAAAAAAAAACTATCCTCTCGAATTCAACTCGAAATTTCTTCGAAAACACTCGTCACATACACGATGAATGACTCTTCCAGGAGATTTCTCTAACAAGTAACCATCAGAGGGAGATCAAAGCACCTGTAAAGAAATGGAGAATGCAAAGCAAGCCCATCAATTCAATCACCATGTACAGAGACTGGCTTTACTGTGCAAGTTCAACTGTTGAAGGTTCTAGCCTCAGGGTAAAAATCAAAACACTTTCAAGTGTTAAAAAAAACATGTCACGGTGAAATCAAAAAGTAAATGGCTATGGTTTTCAGGAATGGAGAAGAAATTCAGAGCCACAAATGGAATTGAAACCAGAGAAAAGAACAAATATATCAGCAATGGAAGTAGTGGAGGACTTCATATACTTGAACTGCAGCTCATCAGCCAACAGTATTCAGGTGACCAAATATCCTCTAAATATACGATATATATATATATATATTTTAAAATCAAATATATCCGACACTTAAACTCGAGTCCGGGTATCGTTTTCAAGCAGATATGGTTGAGAGGAACACAACAGAAAGTGGGGAGAATATCAGCTGGCAGCAGAATAACAAGCCTCATCACCGCAAACGATTTCGTTCTATGTGGGACGGAGTCTGGGTTCATCAAGGCATGGATCCCTCTGTGAGCTCAGATATGAAAAATCTTATAATATAATAATATACATAGAAAAGGAATAACATTTGTGTATAGTTTGTTATATATTGTATGATAATTACACTTAGTTTAATAATAAATTATCGTTCATATCGCATGCTGAGATCAAATGATTTCATTATAGATATAACATTTTTATAATTTTCATTTTGATATAAATATACATTCGAAATATGATCTTAATTTTATTTGGTCAAAAATTTACAGTACAACTTACGAAACAATACAGATTCATTGTCTAGGGTTTAAACAATACAACTTATGTACAATTATAAATATTGACCCAAAGATCTTAGGGTTTATACATCTTTTGCAATCTCTAGTATAACTTATATTTGATATAGCTCCGACGGATTTCGATTCGATTTTATAAGATTTTTTTTTATAAAAAAAATGGTTCAGGTTGGGTTGATTTTTTAGAAAGATAAGATCAAGTCTATTTGAGTTAGTTTAGGGTAAAATTATCTAATCCGACCCAAAAACAATATAATTGAATAATAGATAGAGTGAAAACGTTAGGCACATAAACCCATATCAAATTTCGATTGAATTTCAAGTCGAGTGAAACTTCTCTAAACTCAAATCTAATTGAATGATGAATAGAAAAATTTCAGGGTGTGCATATTTAGTAAAATGAACGACTAACATAAAGAAATTCAGATTCCAGTGTGGGCACAAATAAAATTTCATATAGGCACATTTAATAAACAACAACAACAACAACAAAACCCAATTCCCATATGCAATGGGGTAAGGGGGAGGTAGGGTAGTAGGCTGCCCCCAACGCCAGGTTGAGAGTAGCTTCCGTGGAATACCTCCGGCAGTCAGAAAATTAAAAATATAGATAAAATGCACATTTAATAAAATAAACAACTAATACAATGAAATTCAATCATGTGCTTGTTATTGTGTCGTAGTTCATTGTTTCGTCATGGTGGTTTTTTCTCTTTAGTTGCTTACATGCTTTCGAATGTGAAACTGATCTTTTGGGTTGCGGCAAGCTTTGTTAAGTGAAGGTGTTCAAATACGTTGTGGCTTGTGCATGTGGCAGGACTTATTTGGTCATATGGTTTATAACTGAACCGCGAATCGGTGAAACCAATTAAGTTTTATTCTATTCTGGCATGCCACTCATATTCTGCAAATATACGATGCGTGGATTGAAGATCTATGGGTTCTTTCATGTGACAGGTTAACAACCTCTGCAATAATAGAAAGAATCCCAAGCAAGTGGCCACGTCCCGTATGGCATCGTCCCTGGAAGAACTACAGGGTGATAATCTCTTACACTTTGACATGATAGTCGATAGGATGCCAGTGGTCTTTCTCATTTGCTGAATACCTCCTTCGGAATTTCACGGCTGCTCCTTCGCATTTCAGTTCCTCAAAATTAACCGACATTTATAAGTGGGTAATTAATTCAGGTCATCAGTGGGCATTTGGGATGGGTGAGATCAGTGGCCTTTGATCCAAGTAACAACTGGTTTTGTACCGGTTCTGCAGACCGTACGATCAAGGTCTGTACTGGCTCTTTAAAACAGATATTGATTTGAAAATTTGTTGGCTTTGTTGAAAAATGACTTTTGTCTTGCATCAATTTTGGCATGCTAGATATGGGATGTAGCAAGTGGAAGGCTAAAGCTAACGTTAACTGGACATATCGAACAAATACGAGGTATCAATAGCTCTAACCCACAAAACATGCTGTCGAGTATAGTTATCAATCATGGATTTAGGATCATTGAGAAAGATATATTTTATTCACAGGCCTTGCCGTTAGTAGAAAACACACATATATGTTTTCAGCGGGTGATGATAAGCAAGTTAAATGTTAGGACCTTGAACAGAACAAGTTCCGAACTCCATGCGCGTTGCTCTGTATCTGTAATGGATAAAAGCTTGAGAAATATTTTTTCATCCCCTTGTACCATTGAATCATTCTTGTTATTAAAGCTTATAAATTTTTCTACAGGTTATCCGGTCTTATCATGGTCACCTGAGTGGTGTTTATTGCTTGGCTCTTCATCCAACTATTGACATTTTGCTAACCGGGGGACGCGATTCTGTCTGCTGGGTATGAAATTTATCTGCATAGAAACTACTACGGAATAATTTCTTCTTTAGCTAAAAGTTAATTTTAGCTGTTCATGTAAATTGGATTTTTATGGTCTTTGCTTATTTTAGTCTTGAAATCAATTTTGTATCTGATAGGCAACAAATTTCAGGTATGGGATATTCGATCATAAGAAGTCTAACACATCATAAGAAGTCTGTGCGAGCAATGGCACCACACCCTAAATAGTATCTGCCCTTATATCCTATTCATTAATTTATGTGAAAAACCGGAGCTTTTGTTGAATATATGTCGCTATTCTCTTCCCTTAATGTTTCTCGACCTCTCTGTTGTCAGGATTCTTTTGCATCTGCATCGGCTGACAACATAAAGAAATTCAGTCTTCCCAAGGGAGAATTCTTGCACAATATGCTGTAAGTGAAAGACGTTTTACGTCATAGCCGGCTTTCTAGATGCGTATTGTGTTCTTAATGAACTAACATCATATCATTGTTTGTGTTTCCGGAGCAGCTCTCTGCAAAAGACTATAATTAACACCATGGCCGTCAACGAGGACGGTGTCATGGCTACCGGAGGTGCTTATAGTTTTTCTTTTCGTTTCAAATAATTTTTACCTCTATTGTCTTCATCAATCATCTGCACTTTCCAAATTATTGAAGGCGACAATGGGAGTTTGTGGTTTTGGGACTGGAGAAGTGGTCACAATTTCCAGCAAGCTCATTGTGCAGCCTGGTACGTTTTTCTGGATCCTTTTTTTTTTCCGGCTAGTCCTTGTTTGTTGCGCTGTGGGAAGATGATCGACTCAATGTGTGGTTATTACAGGCTCGTTGGATAGTGAAGCCGGTATATACGCACTCTTTTATGACATAACTGGTACGAGATTGGTTTCATGCGAAGCCGACAAGACGATCAAAATGTGGAAAGAAGATGAAACCGCAACCGAACAGACTCATCCTCTCAACTTCAAGCCACCCAAGGATATCCGTCGGTTCTAGCAACGCCCTTGTCAGCTCATGCACTTTACCCCATCCATGTGTTTTAAAAGGTTCAGATATATGCAAGTTTAAAACACTTTGTTGTTTAGTACTATTGCTGGAAATCGAGGTCGAGTTCGTGGAAATCGAGGTCGAGTTCGAGTTCTATTCGAGATAAAAATCGAATTGTTTAAACTCTTTTGATTTCAGTTTCGACGCTCGAGCAATTCGACTACAGAAATGTACATGTTTCAGGACTCTGTAGATGATTAGATCTCTCAAGTTGCTTCAACTGATCTGAATAACAGTTTTTGATCTCGAAATCTCGAAAATTATACCAACCATCTGAAGTCTCAGCGTTGCTGACTTTGGTTACAATCATAGATTTCTCCATGCACGTCAATGGATGTCGACAGTCGACATGGCCCAATCTTAAACAGATGATTAATTCGTTAGCCACTAATTTCTTTTTACGAAATTCGAGTGCAAAACATCCAACTTCTCATCACTCGATCTGTTGCGGAAAAAACATGTTGGAACATATAATTTCATGGTGATAAGATTGCAATAAAAAGATTGAACAGTTGGATGTGGTAAGCAATAATGTATGCGTGAAGGCTAATTTCTTCATGTCAACCCCACAAAAGGGTAGCACCAGATTATTAACCATAAATCTCCATGGAAACGGACCAAAAGCTAGGCTAGATTCCTGTGTCGAAGAACAAAACTCCAAACAAAACCTATTTATAGCCATAAACATGTCTTTCCTTCCAACAATCAACTTGATCATGCACCAGTTTTGTCGGAAATTCACTAATTGCCACCAAAAATCCATTTTGAAATTCAAGTCTTGAAAGACTACGGTTTCGGGTCGGATCGGGTGGATTTTTGGTCCATCTAAACCTAACCTTGAGTACAACATACGTCTATCCATCATCTGATCTGAGTTTAGGAAAGTTTTACCCAACCCAAAATTCAATCAAACATTTAGCGTAAAAAAATGTATCCAATCTAATCCGACACAAATATATCTATAATTCTTTATTTTATTAGAAAAAATAGGTTCCTAATTATATATATATATATAAGTTAATTATATTATTATTTTTAAATTAGATCGGATATTTTTCTTTATAAACTCAACAGGCCCTTATTATAAAAAGATTCGATCTAAACTCAATTTTTTTAAAAGCCCAATTAAACTCATCAAATTCATCGTCTCGAATAAAAGTACATGTCTTTGTACATTGGGTGATTTTTTTTTTATATTTACAACATGGTCCACAAAATTAATGTTGTGATTCAATAACAGTGTCGCAATGTGCAGCGGCAGTTCTTCCCATGTCTCCTTGCGGTCCTGCACTTGCTCAATCTTGCCTCCAAGATATTTTCCCCACTTTTCCCTGCCCAGAGAGATTTTTCGGAAAATAAATTAAAAATAAATTGTAATTGTAATTATTTAACTCGATTCCTCATTAAACGATGAAATTACACTTAATTAAAATTATTATTGCCTAAATACATTCGAATAATTTAATGTTTTACTATGTTCTGTAATAGCATGTGTTTGCATGTGAAAACCTTGTCACACAACATTAAAATAAACAACATCTCTTTGCCATTAACATTAATCAAAAGGTACAAAATTACAAGTTTATGCAATAACATTACATACAACGTTAAAGTATACAAATTATTGTTACCAGCAAGAAACTTCCTAGAACATAAGACATATTAAAAAACCCAGAAAAAGAAAATAGTTTGTGATGTGCTCGATTCGTGGTATTCGTACTCAGCTCGAATAATTCGAAATTTTTAGTTCATGATGGCTAATAATGAAGGGATTGCGGACAGATTTGGGGTTGTGGTGGTGTTGTTTTTGTTGGAAGAGGAAGGTTTAGTGAAAGCTCTCATGGGACTAGTGAGAGTCCAACCCCAGCTCTTGCTCCGGCCACCGTGGCCGGTGGTTGTTGGTTTGCCATTGATGTGATCTTCAGTTGCAGATGATGAAACCCAGTACGATGACGATGATGAAGATGAAGAGGATGGTGTTAGTATCATGAAACCACCGAAAATCCCACCGCATTTGACTCTTTCTTTCATCGATGACGATGAGCATGAAGAACTAGCTTTCGGTCTGCCTTCCCTTTGTGATTCAACTCTTCTCAGTGCACAATCTCCGAAACCAGTCGAGATCCTCTCGAAGAAATCACCGGAGAAGCTCCTGCTTCCGCATCCGACGGATCTGGACCTCGAGACCTTACGATTCCCGTCGTCAGAAACACCACCAGCGGCTGTTTCCGGTTCTGGGATAGAACCAACTTCACAGGCTTGTTTCTTCGAAGAAAGGTAAAGGAAAGACCAGAACTTGCTTGCACTTCCCCTGGGAATTGCACTCGATTTGCTTCTCTTCAACATAACACCATCACCTCTACGATCATGATCGTTCTTCTTCTTCTTCTTCGCTAAAACGAAAGGCATTCTGGTCCGCCGTGCATGATATTCTTTACCATCTTCTCTTTTATCGCCGCCGTAAGCTGCGGCGGCTACGCCATTGGAAGCAGTATCTGATCTAAAGGAATGGGAAGAGGAAGACGACGATGGCGAGGCACGGAGAGGTAAAGGAAACGAAGAGGAAACCAACTTGCCGAGCTTTTCTTGGAGGCAAAAAGCACAGATACCGCCATGGTTGTTGCTGTTGTTGTTCCGATGATTACTGCAAAACTGCATGCCGTCAGCAAGGTCATCGCCATTAACGTCAACACCAACACCAACACCGACTCTTCCTCCTCCTTTGATTCCTTCCATCGGAGAGAGACAAGTGAAAAGAGATGATAAGAATATGAAAACAAGACAAGCGGGAGCAGAGATATAGAGAGAGTTTCAGAGATTATAATTGAATTGGAGAATAAATGAAAAAAAAATAATGGCATTGAGATTAATGAAAGAAAGATGAGAGAGAGAGACCCTGGAGCACGTGCAAACATTAAATAAAATATTAATTTATTTATATAAAATCGATTACATAAATCAAACGACTCTATTAGTTAAAAGATGGTTGTTCTCTTTAAAGGTCGCGACTTTAAGTATGATGTCTAGAAATATGTTATGGCGTTTATTGTCAAATGATTAAGTTTATTAGATAGATAATCGATCAAAATGTGTTATGTCAATAGTTTTGTTTATTTTTTAACAATGAATGATTAAAACGGAAATAAAACTTAGGTTTATTTATGATTTTAGAGTAAATAATAGTTAAGTAATCAAAACGAAATATTTATAAATAGTTTAACGACTAAATACATAGTTTACTCAATCAAATATCAATTGCCAAAATATATATAAAAGGTAAATTGTACTATTTTTTGGTATAATCATCCGTATCCGATAAATTAATACACTAATTAGATCAGATACTGCATAGGCTAGGACGATTCTTAAAATTCAATTTGCTCTATTCGTAAATTACAAGATTCGATTATACCAAAAAATAGATTAGATTAAATAATCATCGCTCTCATTCCAATTAGACTAATTGATCGTCGGTAAAGGTAAATTGTACCATTTTTCTCATATTAGATTAAATACTATTGTTCACCTTAAATTTTAATTTTTCGTGATTGTATCTTTTGAAACCTCAATCTGACCTAAAACTCTTTTTTTTTATGAAAATCAATTATATAAAATTGGATTGAAGCTCGAACTCGACGTATTCGGACTAAATGCCTATCCTAATTACGAATGAAAAAATAAATTAATTAAAAAACCGATCTATAGTAAAACCTTTCATTTAAATTAATCAATCAATAAAATATCGATAATGCTAAAAATGAAAAATTGGAATTTATGCTTCGAGCTTATCCAATATTATATATATAATTAAGAGTGGCAGTGTGGCTTTGAAACATGTTCGGAAGGTAAAGCAGTGAGTAGTTCTTGTTAAGGCTGTTGGACAATTAGGCCAAACCAAAGCCCCCACTGATTATTGCCTGAATTTGACTGAATTTGACCATGTGTCTTCTTCTTCCTCATCTTCTTCGACACCTCCATTAATTATGAGTTTATTGCCCTCTATTTTCTTGGTGGGTCACCATATCTGTTAAACTATGCTCTATTTATTACCAAATCTCCAGCCTCGTCCTTTGATGTCTGTTCACTTCAATGAAGTCGATATCGAATTCGAGTATTGTGGATGAAAAAAATATTATTTCGAAAAAGAGTATGAATTATGTGAATTCGAATGTTGTAGAGGTCCAATTTAACGATGTAGAAATGATCTCCCACAGAAAAAAAAAATTATGAATTTTGTTCATTTACTTGAAAATTGCAAAACAATCCATCCGGTAATTATTATTAAATTTCAGGGAAAAGTACATAGATGGTCCCCCAATTATAAGGTAATACTTTATTAAGTCCATCGACTATTAAAAGTTACAAAATGGTCTCCCGACTATGGGGTACTGCTTTATTAAGTCGTTCGACTATTAAAAGTTACAAAACGGTCATATGACTATAGAATGATGCTTCATTAAGTCCCTCAATTATTAAAAGTTACAAAATCGTAACCCAACTATTTATTATGTTCCAAACTCGTCATTCTCCATTAAAAAATTGACAGTTATCTAAGTTTGACGTTAATATGATGACTGGAATATGACAGTTATCACAATCAGCAGGTTAACGCTCAACTCAGAATACTATCAATTTTTAACAGAAAATAATGAATTTGGAACATATGAATAGTCAGGTGATCATTTTGTGACTTTTAATAGCCGAGGGACTTAATGAAGCATCATTTTATAGTTAGAGGATCATTTTGTAACTTTTAATAATCAGAGGACTTAATAAAAGAATACCCTATAGTCGAGGGACCAATTGTATACTTTTACCCTAAATTTTATTAAATCATAAATATTGCCAATATGGTAAATTTGAATGAATTTAAAACGTTCAAAAGTTCGATGATCAATATACAATGAGGATCATATTTTAGAATAAACTTGAAATGTTTAAAAATATGAGAACTAATTGAGAATGAGAATCGTACTTTAAAAATGTATAGTGCAATTTACTTGATCTATAATTTAATAACTCATAATAATAGGTGTACTAATATATCTATCTTTTAAAAGAATACAACACAAAAAAAGAAAGACAAATCGACACAAATTATAAAACTCGAAGAATAAAACATTGACTAATGATACACTACGAGAATCAATCATCAACAATCACATCTTAATCTACGTAAATCTTGATATTCTTTACTTTTTTTCATCATTTCATTTATCATTAATCGTTCCGATAATCATAATACGAACATTAATCGATCAAATTTTCATAGCTATTGAAATATTATATTATAACTGTCAATAACATGGCTAATCCCATAATTTAATGTGTGAATTTAAATAATGATGATAATGACAAATTCAACACTTCATCACAATGCAATAATGCATGAAGTTGATACAAGGAAAAATAATTAATTAAGAACTTGACTGTGTGTAGTAATTAATTAAAAATTTAAGATAAGGACAAGAAAAATATTAGTTTAATTAGTCTTTCATATGTTCATATGCCTTTAGGGCACGTTTCATACTTTTGGGGCACAAATGTATGCCCATTTAATAAGTTCAAAATCATTTCTTTTATATTAATTATTATTATTATTATTATTATTATTATTATTTGCATGGACAGGTCAGCAAGAACAACAAAGCACTAAAAAGTTGTTTATTTGACTTTTCAATTTATTTATTTTTAGTGTTAGATTTATTTTACTTTTTAATTGAGCATTATTTAATTATCTTTTGATCTATTTTTATTTTGGATTTCTAGATAAATTCTATTGTATAATTATCTCAGATATACCGTGATTTGAGTTGTGATGAAATTAGTAATTACTATATTATCATATTTTATTACTATGTTAGTGTTGACGATATTTATCATTCATCATTGATCATTGTTTTGTTTGTATATTTTTAATAAAAAAATATAATTTCTTAGCTTTGTTGAATTTGCAATTCAGATTATTATTATTTACTGTTAATTACGTTCATTATTAGTGTTTTTTCAAATTGAAGCTGAAAATTCCATATATGGAAAATTGTAACCCAAACCGGTGAAGGTATTGGTGATTGTGAACTTCTCAAGTGGTTCGTTCATGAGGTGAGTTAGGGCCCAAACGTTCATCGAGAAGCCGAAGCTCCTCATGTTGCATGTGAAATGAATACCCTTGTGATTGGAACGGGCATGGGTAGGGTTGGATTGAGGTTTCAGTCAATCTGATCCGACTTGAAAATATATATATTATATCCAAAATTTGATATGATTAGAGTTTAGGGATGACTTCACCCGATCCGAATTTGACTGATTTTTTGAGATAAAATTCGAACTCGATTGACCCAAAATAAATATATTTATAAAAAAAATATTATTTTTACTCTAGGGATTTGATTGAAAAAATAATATATAGATGATTATTATTGTAATTATCCCTAAATATATAAGGTAAATTTACATTATTTTTCGGGTCAAGTATGTAGAAACTTGTTTTGTCCGGGTTTTATTATTATTATTATTATTATTATTATTATTATTACTATTATTATTTTATTAATATTAATACATTATATTTTATTTACATACCCAAAATTAAATCCAAGCCCAACAATTGATAAGGCCCAACTAGCAAGCCCAACTGCTGTTAGGGTTTGTTGATTGGAAACCCTAGGGTTATCGTTCGCGCCGCCACCGCCAGGAAGGAAACATACTGCTGTCGTCTCTTCTGCAGTCGCTGATGTCGCCGGCTACCTCAACAAATCCCCTGTTCCAAAATAAGCCAAAAACCAAACCAAATCAAATCAAAACATAAAAAAAACAAATCAAATTAAAAAAAAAAGTAAACCTAGCCACCAAATCTCGAAAATTTGGGAGTCCCATACCCCTAACCTACTCTCTGTCATCTTTCTCTCACCTAACCAAACATTGCCCCATTGTTATATAAGCATGCAACCAAAACGGAACGCGGGGGGGGGGGGGGAAAGAAAAGGAGGAGAGACTCGAAGAGAAGAGGAGAATCAGGGAAAGAGCGGATTCAAACAAGTAAAAAAAAAGAGCATAGACCATTTGAAAAAAAAGGAGAAAAAGAGGGAGAGCATATCGAAGAATCGAAAAAAAGAAAAGAAAAGGGGAATAAAAAAGAAAATAGAAGAAGGAAAGGAAAAATGGTCTACTTTCATCGTCGACAGGGAAAAGTGAGTGTAACACTCTTAACCTGTATATGTACCCAAACACGAGTCAAAGATGTCACATAGCTTTATATACATTCTAAGATTTTTAAATCCAGTAAAATTTTAAACTTTTAAAATTTATCCAATTTAATCATTTTAATAAATAATGTAATCACGTAAAATCATATTATAATATTTAAGTCTCTAAATCAATATCAGTTTTAGGTAACAACTAGACAATTATATACTGTTCTATATCATATGATAAACTACCTAATTACTGTCTAATTTAAAATATTTATTTACTCTATCAAAATATAATTTTTATTTGAAACACAAAACTTAAATTCATATTTATATCCATAATAACATATCTTAGATTTTTCTTATTCGTATACATTCAATCTAGAAAATTTTAAATAGTAGGATGTCATTACCAATACCTGAAACTTTTTATTTATTGATTGATGCCCACTCGGCTCTTTACTTCACTTGCTCTTCTTTACTTACGTGTGAAAATCATCACACGCTAAGTGTACACTTAGTGAGGTATTATAAACAAATTAAAGTGATAAAAATATCAAACAATTTAGCAACATCTAAACAACATATTCACTTATATAAAACTTAATAATATCACAACAATTTAAAACATTAACTTAAATTCAAATAAAATGATTAAATATCTAAATCGACTTATTCAAGACATTTAGGGTTAGCCCAATACTTCTAACCCGGGATTCTTGGCGTTACGATATCTCTCGGGAGGGTAATAGAATGACTGACGCTTTGGCTAAACAAGCTCGAAATAGCTCAATGGAAAAAATGTTTGATGTATATTAAGTAAGAAAAAAGTCTTATTTAAGAGTTTAATTCAACTTAACTATTTGATATAATTGAAGTTCATAATATGATTATTGTGTATGAAACTTTGTAAGAAAAAAGTCTTATTTATTTATTTTTAATTAGACAAAAGGAAAAAAATGGTCAATTAGTTTTCAAACACAAAGCCACGTAAATTATCCCATGTGCAAGGTACAAGTATTAATTATTTATTAACTGATGGTTTCCATAAAAATTAAATTATGAGGAGTAAAATGTTTCAAAAAGACAATAACAATCAAAGTGACTACTCGAACAAACAATAAGGGTAAAACTTGACATTATGTCAACTACAAACATGTTTAATTAATTATTAACAACTTGAAACCATTAAGTGGTCTCCATTATAAAAGATAATATTATTCTCGCTAGAAGACTCGAGTCAGAGTAGTTGGGTTTCCATAGTGTGTGTTTTCTGTTAATAACTAAGAAAGTTCTGAATATATACTATATTATAATCAACTATACTATTCAAAAAAATTATTAACTGCTTGATTCGAACATGATAAATAAAAAAGGAGTCGATGTGACCTGACCTTTTTGGATCAAGTTTTTTAAAATTCATATTCGGGTTTAGGATAAAAATCTCTAATTGGACGCGAAAACTATATAATTATCCATTATATATCTAAAAACAATTGCAATAATGCTTCTGTCTCTATATTTTTTTTCAACTAGGATTCTATTTTATCTAAAAAGAATATAATTGTATACTTGTATCGAGTGAGGTGAGGGTAAGAGTGTGTTCTTACCTCAAAAATCAAATTAGATTTAGAGTTAGTCCATATTGTCGAGTGAGTGACGAGTGAAAGAGTACAATGTTCACCTTGACCAAAATCCAAACATTCCGTCAAAGGTCATTGTTTAAAGGAACAATGGAATCTGAATTCCGAAAAAAAAAACCATTGATTTTCGTGCATTTCTAAGCGTAGAAAGTAAACTAATACACTTTTAATCAAATTCAAACCCCGAGAAGAAGAAGAAGAAGAAAAGCTTCGAGCTTTAGCAGGAACAATCATGGAGGATGAAGCTGTATTCCGCCATTAAATGGACCTTAAAAACAAAATGGACTCCTCAAGAGACAAGATATATGGGCATTGCAGAAGTGGAAGCCCTTTGCTGTTGCTCCATGTTAAGTTCCCTGAGACTCAAAAATGGGATCTTCAATGGACCTGAAGATGGGCGGCTAGTGATTTTGCAGGGTGTGGTTGGACCCGAACCGCTTCGGCTATCGGTTACGTAAACCGGTCCCGACATCGAAGCTCGGAAAGCTCGAGCCCTGACTCGATGAACGTCGGGCTCGAGTTCAAGATCTAGACCACTAACACTACCACCACTACCACCACCCCATTTCTTCCACTTGAATAAAAAGAGAGCATTTTTCCACCACCAACGTTTCCTCTTGTTCTTGGCCTTGAGATTGTTTGTTTTCCGGGAAAATTGTTCGTCTTTTGAAACGGGTTTCTGGAGCTTGAAGTGAAGGGAATCAATGGTTCTCGATGACGATGATTCTTTCTTGTGCTTCCTTGCTTCTTCCAACACCTGGGTTTTTAAAAAAATGAAAAAGGTTTAGTGAAGACGATAAAAGAGAATCATAAAAATGGAAGCTTTTTGTAAAAAAAGATAAAATTTCTTTGGGGACCTGAAAATAGTCGATTTGAGGGTCAAAGCCATAGTCACTGAAGTGTTGAGGCCCAGTCATGGGGAAGATTGGGGACTTGTTTGACATTTTCCTCCTTTTTGCTCTATGTGTATGAAAATTGCCGACGAAATTGTATTTTGGGCAAGTTTATAAGAGAAAGGAAAGAGATTTTTGGCCTTCTTTGTGGGAATGGCCTACTACTTATTTAAACTAAGAATTTATTGAAAATTGTGGCTATCATATTTGATGGATTAAATCCATTAAATAAAATTTCTTATCTTTTATAGGTTTCGTTTTGATTAATTTGGACCGATCCTGGTCACACACTTAGTTTTAGTGGGTACATACACAAAGACTCGAACCTGAGATCTTATTTAAGCGATATCAAACTACTTACCACTTGAACCAACCTTATGATATAATTAATTTTTTTATCAGAAGATGTATATTGTTAATAGATTAGGGATTTTTTTAAACAAATATTATCTTATAATTATTTAATATTATTAAAAAAAATCATATAATTAGTATTATAATAATTATAAAAATAATATTTTGATAAAATTTAATGATTATTTTATAATATTTACCTTTATAGTTTACTACAAGCTCGTCCCTTTATTATAATTAAAAGTTTATTTTAATTTTTTAATATAAAAATTCATATAACTAGTATTATAATGATAATAAAAATTTAATAATTATTTTATAATATTGTGATAAAATTTAATGATTGTTTTAAGCATGCATTATGTATTAACAAAAATATCACCGCTATCAAATTACAATATTATTTATTCACTTTTAAAATATGTGTGAATTAATTACTCTTTTTATAATGATCAATTTTTTAGAGAGATCAATTTACTCATTTTTAGAGGTATAATATTTGTGGGTTAAATTATGATTGTCATCCTTCTATTATGTTTGAATCTTAGTTTTAATTTGGTAAATTTAGTCTATCTACTTTTACAGTTTAATTAGTTAGAGCAAATCGTTAATGTTATTGACTACAAAAGGGGTTTTAAGGGGGGAAAATCCACAACAATGTTTTAACTAAAACAGTTAGTGGTGTCAAGTATTTGGACTAACTAACTACATTATAGAGAATAAGGTGGCGTTTGGTTCGCTTAAATGTTTATGAGAGAATTAAAATATGTGAAGGAATTCGAATATATCAAGAATTGGAATCCAATTCCATATTCTGTTTGGTTCGCAGACATGTTAGATGAATTTGATTTCAGTAATGTAAAATGATAGAATTGTCCTTCTTGTTTTTTTGCTTTATTTTAGTTTGTTTTACAACTTACATGTAGTAATATATTATAAAAAATTAAAAAATATTAAATCTTCATTTTATTGATTGATTATTCATTTCAATAAATTATAAAAATCATTTTTATTCAATAAAAACATTGACTTAATTGAAAACAATTATATATAGAGGGGTATTATTGTAATTATTCCTAAATATAAAAGGTAAATTATATATTTTTTTCGGTTCGGGTCCGGTTTTTTTGACCATAAACCCGAATCTGACCCGAATACCACACTTTAAAAAACCTGACCCGAATGTCATACTTAAAAAACCCGAACAAAATAAATTTTCACCCGACCCGACCCGAATATATGAATTAACAATCCGACCCGACCTGATATAATAAAAAAATTATTTTTATTAAAAAAACAGTGACTTAATTGAAAAAAATTATATATATAGGGATATTATTGTAATTATTCCTAAATATATAAGGTAAAATTATATATATTTTCGGGTCGGATATTTTTCACCCTAAACCCAAACTCAACCCGGCCCGAATATCACACTTAAAAAAACTGACCCGACCCGACCAAAATAAAGTTTCACCAGACTCGACCCAAATATATGAATTAGAAACTCGACCCGAAATAATAAAAAAATATTTTTATTCAATATAAGAATAAGTTACCAAAAGATTGATGAGGGTAATATAGTCAAATTTCAATTCCCTCCAACAAGGGAATTGAATTTCTTCCATTCTTGGATGAAATTCACTTTCCCTCATTTGATGGAAAGTTGAAGCCATGAAGGATTCCAATTCCCTTAGAAAACTTGAACTAAACATGAGAAAGTGGTGGAATTGGATTCTAATTCTCCTTAATTCCAAGGGATTCATGCCAACCAAACACCACCTAAAAGGATTAAGTTGTATTAAATTAAGGTGCAAGGGTTAATCTCATGATTAAATATAATATAGGGATCAAGACTATGATTTTGCCCATTTTCGCATAGGCCTCTCAAATCAGCTTCTGATGCAAAAAGCTAACTACCATGATAATTATGACAGTTTTACGGTGCAACATGTAACACCCCAACTCATACCCGACCCGAATACGAGTCTGAGGTATCACATTGACTTTCCAAACCTTGACACTTAAAGAAAAACCCCGTGGAATTTAAAACTTGTTTAAAACAAAATACTTTAATTTACATAAAAGATACCACAAAATACAAACTTGATCAGAGTACTCATAATTAACGACTTATTACATGCCAACACTCTATACACAACAAAATACATACTTTGTCGATTACTTCTGATCTGATCTTCTAGTAATAATAATGTCCTTGCCACTTCTATTCTTGCTCTTCACGTTTCTTGGTACCTACGTGTAAATCACTTACACGCTAAGTCATAGACTTAGTGAGGCAATAAATAAACATGTAACAGTAGATTCATGAAAATGCATTCTTACCATTTGATCATGATATTTCAATATGCATGGATATATTTCCTATGACATATATAATCAAGCCATGCACACATGAAACTTACCTTTTTGCATCACTTTCACTTTAATTTATATTTCAATTGTTGTTGTTGTTGCCCATGTATATTATTGAGAATAGAGGTATGTGAGTACATTGAGGTTGTGAACCAATGCTGTCACCACAGCTCCTATAAATTCCCTCGTGGGGCACCGAACATTTGTTCATCATTTGTCCCGAAGGACTGCTATATATGTCCTGTAGGACCACTACGTCCCGAAGGACTACAATACCCTCGACTTTTGGCATGCCAACTATACCTATAGCTCTCGTATCATATACTATGGGCATTTATTATGAATATATTTCTCATCACTTGTTCTTTCTCTTCTGTCACATACCACATGTATGTGTAACCATATATTTCATATCATATCACATATTGCATATTCATATGTCATTTCATATATTCACATAGCTTATTTCATTTCACATTGGTCATATCTCATAGCATATATCACATATGCATATAATCATGTATATCATATCATATATCTTATGTTTCATGCTCTTATGTTTATGCATATCATGTATTCATGTACATATAAGAATCACATATCAAATAACATTTTAGGAGTCACTTCTTACCATAGTAACTCCATCATTGGCTCATCGCAAGCCAATGTTCGTTCAATAATATAAGTACAATTAAAATTGCACTCACCTTTGATTCGATTATAATCCTTTGATTATTCCAGAACTTGTTTAGACTCAATATCTACATAAATATATCATTTCAAAACAACTATCAGAAGTCTAAACTTTAAACTTGATGTTAATAACTTAAACCGGTTTAATGAATCAAATTCTATTTTTTCATTTAGGGGGGAATCGATACCCCCCCAGGGGGAATCTGTTCCCGGGGAATCGATACCCCCCCAGGGGGAATCTGTTCCCCCTGCACATACTGAAATTTTCGTCCAAGAGGAAGAATCGATTCCCTTCATAGGGTATCGGTTCCCTCTACTAGAAATTGTATTTTAACCCCGAAAATCATCAATTCTTCACTTAATTCTTCTATTTTAAACCCCTATCATGTCATTAAACTCAACTACCATTACTTAAACCAACTTATATCCATGAAAATCATCTATAACTTCAAAATCCTATCATTCATATGTAATTCAAGAATCATACTCAAATTTCAATATGTTCTAAATACCATTCTAACACTTCATATTCCTTAATTAGCATGATGACAAGTCAAATTTAACTTCAAATTCAACTTATCAACTCTTTTCCATGATTTCATATAAAAACTCATTTTCTTAAATCTCTTATAACTTCTTCATCTTTTTGTTTTTAGAACAAATTAAGCTTTCCTTAAGCTTAATTATCATCTAGTGATCATAACCCAACTTTTAAAACAACAAATAACCAAGAAAATAGAAAACTCACCTTTGTTGTGGCTTTCTCTCGTATGGAAGAACAAAGAGGAGAAGAAGAGATATTCTTCTTATCCCTTTCCCCCGTATATATCCTCAACATAATACAATTTAATCATTTAATGGTTAAATAACCATTTTGCCCTTTAATTCTTTTAATAATTACTAACAATCCTTCCAGATAAATCATTGAATTATCCAATTATTCTACTTTAATCACCAAATTCTAAAGTTTTACAATTTAGTCACTAACCCGTATTTTGGGATGTTACAAATCTCTCCCCCTTAAGAAAATTCGTCCTCGAATTTTCATTGTACAAAGAGATGGGGATATTGAATCTTCATGTCCTCTTCACGTTCCCACGTCGCTTCTTACACCTTGTGATTTCTCCACAACACTTTAACTAATGGAATAGTCTTGTTCCTTAATTGCTTTACTTCGTGAGCCAATATTTGAACATGTTCTTCCTCATAAGTCAAATCTGATTGAACTTCGATATCTTCGGTAGTCACAATATGAGATTGATCGGATCGATATTTCCTAAGCATGGAGACATGAAAGACGTTGTGGATTTTCTCCATTTCATGTGGCAAAGCCAATTGATATGCCACTGGTCCTACTCTCTTAACGATTTCATATGGTCCAATAAACCGAGGACTCAATTTTCCTTTACGTCCAAATCTCAATACTTTCTTCCACGGAGACACTTTCAAGAACACTTTATCTCCGATTTGAAACTCAATTTCTTTCATTTTTAAATCAGCATATGATTTCTGTCTATCAGCTGCAGCTTTCAGATTATTCTGAATGACTTGAACTTTCTTTTCCGTGTCCTGAATCAACTCAGGACCAATAACTTCTCGATCCTTAAGTTCATACCAGTTCAAGGGTGTACGACATCTTCTTCC